GCACTTTTAATCAAAAGTTAGCATAGCCTGTCCTCCGAGAAATATATATAAATATAACCATCCCATGTGTGTTTCAAAAAACAGTCTGTGTGTGCACTGGTGCCAAAAAATGTCACAGTTGTTAGGATGTGTGTGTGACCTTGCCCTGGCATTTGAGGTTGCTTCAAACCCTGAGCGCCAATGTCAGTATTTCTCGACGTCTGCACATTTCTACATGCAGACAAACACACACACACACACACACACACACACACAAACACACACACACACACACACACACACACACACACACACACACACACACACACACACACACACACACAGACACACACACACACATGTTTCCAGTGTTATCTCTCAGATGATGCTGTTGAAAGCAGCTGTGCACTGAACAATAAACAAGCTGCTGCTTTAATAAATAGCAAACACATGCAATTCATCACTGTAATTACTTCCTCCAACAGCTTCAAGACCTGCAAGGTCACATGGCCAACACTGTGTTCCTTACAATTAGCAGCAGTAGACCAGTGTGTGTGTGTGTGTGTGTGTGTGTGTGTGTGTGTGTGTGTGTGTGTGTGTGTGTGTGTGTGTGTGTGTGTGTGTGTGTTTGTGTTTGTGTCTGTGTGTGTGTGTGAGATAGATAAAGAGTGCAGTACTACGAGAAGAACAAAAAACATAAAAAATGCAACAAATATCAGCAGATCTTAAGATCAATCCTTATGTAGAAAATGCATGCATGTGAGGTCTGTGCCTGTGTGCACCGATAAGCAGGAGGAATGAGTTGCTGGTCATTACACAAACACCATTACAGAGTCTACGCTCATACTGCTATCAGACGTAGCCATCACACAAACAGGCGCACAGGACAGGCACACACGCACGCACGCACGCACGCACGCACGCACGCACGCACGCACGCACGCACGCACGCACGCACGCACGCACGCACGCACGCACGCACGCACGCACGCACGCACGCACGCACGCACGCACGCACGCACGCACGCACGCACGCACACACACACACACACACACACACACACACACACACACACACACACACACACATCCTATCTTTCCATCTCTTTTGAACTACATACATATATTCCCTTTTTCTTCTAGCATCACACAAACATCACAAACACCCTCTGTTATTATTGTTAACAACTGTTAAAGTTTTCCCACATTGGTCTCTCCTGTGTGAATACGCAGGCGGCCCTTTACATTTTGAGATGTTGTGAAGGATTTGTCAAATTGCTGACAGCTGTGCAATGTAGCTCTCCTCCTCTCTGTTTCTGAAACAGATGGATAGAGAACCAGGTTTAAACGTTTTTCAAAAGATGGAGAAACAGACACACACGCACGCACGCACGCACGCACGCACACACACAACTCCTTTGAGAATCCATTAGGATAATATTGCATTTTCAGCTACTCTCTTCTGGCACTTACATTTTTTACAGATTCTGCCGACCGCAACACTTTTCTGCTGTCATTAATTAGTCTTTCACGGTGTAACCATGGCAACCAAGCATCCTTACGTTATTATACATTACCATGCATACAGTGCACAGGTAGGTGGAGGCACTGAGGCTGTGCAGCTGTGTGTGTGTGTGTGTGTGTGTGTGTGTGTGTGTGTGTGTGTGTGTTTTATATGTGTGTGGTTATGTCTTCACCTGCAAAACAAGGATAAAAATGTTATACCAAAAATATGGGAAACGACTTAAATGACTAGAAAGGTACCCAAAAAGGAAATTTTGAGAATAAGGGGTTAACATTTTGATGACTTGAAAAATGTTGATGACAAAAATCGAAATAGTTATGTACTGAAAGTTTGAAAAATAATAAAATGTACAAACACATGTTACTTTAATATATTATATAGATTGCTTTGAAAGTCTTGTGTTCTTTTCTCTTGGCCTCATTAACACTGCCTTTGATTTAACTTTTATATAAGCAGCATGATGGAAAAGGAACGAATGAAATACAGAAAACAAGTGTGTGTCCACTTGAGTTTTTACTACAGCCTTGAAGCTCTGCAGATCTTCCCTCTGAAACACACACTGTCTAACTGTCCTCAGATCAGAGGACAATGGCAGGGTGAGAGTTACTGCTACTGCTGCTGAAGAGTGTGTGTGTGTGTGTGTGTGTTTGTGTGTGTGTGTGTGTGTGTGTGTGTGTGTGTGCCCCTTTTCTCACGACCCTCTAAAATAAAAGAGGCCTTGTCTGCTTCCATTAGTGACCTGCAGCAGCCACCCCAGATGACTGAAAGAAAGCAATGCATCTAAGAGAAAAGAGGTAAGGTGCGGACAAAAGGAGAGAAAAAAGGAGGTATACAAAAGTATAAAAGTTATAAGGGTGTCAACTTAATGTCCTTCATTTCATACTGTGACGCCCTTTAAAGCCTTGCACTGTGTTTCAAAGACGTCCAGGGATCTTTTCAACCTGCTGAATTAAACATGATGGAAATGCACACAAGCTTCACATTTTATAACCGTTTGACAGCTCTGCCCTAAATGCTCTCAATTTATAATAATAATAAGACATACGATTTGTATAGCGTGTTTCCTAATGCTCAAGGACACTTATGGATGTGTGTGTTGCAGTTTTCAGTCACTATACACGTCTTTCAAAACTCACATTTCCAACCCGTTATCTTTCAAGTTATTACACGTTGAAAACTCAATTCTGATTGGTCAATTTGGACATTCCAAAGGTCAAATCATTTTTGCTAACAGACCGTTGCTAAGGATAGCAGACCGTTGCTAAGTAGGACGCTGTGACAAAGGGACTTGGTGCAGTCGTATCAATCCGCAGAAAGAAGTCCGGTCAATTTAAACCGTCAGCTGTGATACAAACATCATGGGAGTTTTTTTTAATGTTTATTCTTATACTTGAGGAGAGCACGAAAGTTTGGATTCATGGCTTATTTCTAAACCCATTCAGTTCAATCAGGAGAGACGGTTTTGATGTAAGAATACATATTTATTGCAGAGATACACAAATTAATGTAATGGTGATTTTGGTGATTAGGCCCCGTTGTGCAGGAAGTATCATTCGGGAGGGTAGAACCGATCCGATGAAAACTCCCTGGGGTCTTGACCCTGGTGGTGGTGAATGGATAGTTGGGTTCGGTCTGAAGGGGAGGGGCTTAGCTTGACCCTGGATTCAGAGGGACAGGAGGTGAAAAGGGGGTGGAGGAGGGTTGCGTCGAGTCACCTGAAAAGACAGCTGACAGAGGGGGGAGAGCAGATTTAAAAGGGTTAGCAGAGCGCTGTGATAGGCTCTTGGGAATAGAGCGAAGTGATTGGTTAAGCTGGAGAGTGATGCCCCCGATCACTTATTGAGAGGAGAGAGAGAGAGTAGTAACAAGGAAATAGTCAATGAAGAGTAAAGACGGTCTTCCTGGTTGAACTTACGCTGAGCTTCATTAGTCAAAACAGTTCGCCAATAGGTGGAATTATCGGTACCACTTTACAATAAGACCCTTATAAAGGATTCATAAAGGGTTTATAATTAGGTTGTAAACACTTTATTAATCATTAAGAACCATTTATAAACCAGTTCTAACATACATCAACACAGGCTCACTATTTGGCAAGATGACTAAGCCTTATTGGCTACCAAGCTTACTTCGTCTTCTTCATCAGCCAGCATCCTTGGTATCTGTTGTTCACTGAGTTGATTCTCCCCCTTCCATCTTGATGTTTCTTGGCATCTCTTATGACCATTTATTTACGACTTACTAACATTTATAACTGCCAAAAGGGAGCCTTATTGTAAAGTGTGAAACAAATCACCATGTATTAATGAGTTACTACCATTTATAATAAGGCTTAGCAGTACAGATAAATGTGGGCTCACTATTTGGCAAGCAACCGGTCACAGTTGCCCTGTTTATCTCATGTCTTATAAAAGCTTATTAAGGATTTATAAAGTGTTCACAACCTAATTAATAAATGAATTACAAACTATTCGTAAACCCTTTATAAGGGTAGTCTTATTGTAAAGTGGTACCGAATTATTTGACCTTTTCACAAAACAATGTCTGTTTCCTTGTGTCTTGTCTTGATATCTGTCGATTTTGAAGTATTATCGTATTGCATGAACCAGTCTCCAACAGTAAGGAGAGCAATAACAAGAGCCGGCAGGAGGAAGAAATGCAAACAAAATAGAGGTGAACGTAAACGGAGAGGGGAGTTACAGGAAAGAAAGTAATACAGTAGTTCAGGAAACGCTACAAAAAAACACCACTTACAAAACAGGAACAGGAGTAATATTATATTACTTTATTTATCTTTTGTACAATGTAATTACAATACAAATATGTAGGTTTAAATACAAAAAAATCTGTAAATAAAGATTAAAAATAAATCCCACTGGTTTGCTTTGTTACCATCACTAAACTATGGTTTTACAATCAAGTTTATGAGGTCATTTAGTTTGCTTTAACGCGGAACACAATTAACCTACATTTATAATTTGGAGGGCGTGCAAACGAGAGTCTAAAATATATTTTAAAATGAAATAAAAGCATTGATTTCATCTCAATGAGTCTGGTCTTGGAGGAGAGAGGAGGGTTGAAAGTTTGGTTTTGCTGGGGAAACAATATCGTTTTAGGCAGGGCATGGTATGAAGTATTCCTGGGTTACATTAAGTTTCTGAGAAACAGGCAGCCAGACAGGATCGCAGCCACAGGAAGAGACGGAATAATCCAATTAAAGTGTGAAGAGTTAACGAGCAGGAAACTCAATCAGCGACAGTCCATATCCACACAATTACATTCTGGAGGAACAAAGTTTCCCCTTTCTACATAACATACAGAAACAACCTGCGTCTATAAATAAAGATTCTGCTTCATCATGTTTTCTTGTATGACTCTGAATGGCAAGTTAAAACACAGACAGCTCTGTTGATAGTGTTGCACATTTGACTATGAGGCTGTAATTAATATAATAAGCAATAATCTTTTTAAATATGATCCAAATTTGTGAGGTTTTTAAGAGCCGAGGAACACGGATTTGACTTGGCTTTGAGACAGAAGGATGTAGAAACAGCAGACAGTGCGTGGGTTGTGTGATGAATGTGTCTTTGTTCTCAATATTTTTCACACACTCTTTCTCACTCTTTTTTCATATCTTATCCCATTTTCCTTTCTTCAGACTTCCACCATCTCAATTTGTTATGACTCCATTCTCTCCTTCAATCTCTCACATACAGGCTTTCCTTTCCTTTTCTTTTTTACCTCTATCAATGTATTCTTTCTGTTACTCACTCAATCAAATGTCTGTAATAATCCCACATCCAAAACATCTTTCATTTGCCAAGCCTCTGCTCATGTTCCTCTTATCTTATTACCTCTTCTCATCAATCCCAAACTCTGTAATGAGTGCAATACTAATGCAACAGTAACGCAGCAGAGGTGAATACACAATCATATTGTACGTGATGAGACTATACCCTGTGTTTTTTAAACATATCAAAAGGAGTATGAATGCTGTAAAGTAGTGCATCGGTTTTTTTGTGTTTCCACTGAGATGTTTCTGGAGAAGATGAAGTCTGTTGTGCTGTCCAGAGTGTGTGTGTGTGTGTGTGTGTGTGTGTGTATGTGTGTGTGTGTATGTGTGTGTGTGTGTGTGTGTGTGTGTGTGTGTGTGTGTGTGTGTGTGTGTGTGTGATATCCTGAAGTTGTTTTTCATGTCCCAGCAACCCTTGAGGGAAGGCTTTAGTCAAAATGACTCATCGGGCCTCGGTGGAGCGGATATACGTGAGGTGGAAGAAACATGCCGCTATATACACTCACTGTCTCACCACACACTGCTTCATCCTATTTGGTTCCTGTCACATGACTCCCACAATGCTTTGCACACATTTTAAGCGACCTGTCGTTTCCCTCCTCTCAGCTAAAATAAATATATGGGATAAAAAAAAAACACTGCTTTAAGATTTAGATTTTTTTTAAAGTATATATAACTTGTTAAAATAAAAATGAAGTACAATAAATAAAATAATTTGGCCATAAATCTCTACTATTAGTGAGTAAGTCCTTTTGGGGCTGGAAGGGTCGGGTCTTACTTCATTGGCTAATCCTTTCCATGCTCAGCATCACTTCTCTGCACATCCACCAGAAAGAAAATATCTCACGAGTTTGGAATGCATCTGAGTCCCGCTTTTTAAGAAAGAAACCACTGAGTTGTGCCCCTCTATAATGTCCTCAGGCGGGGGGCACGTACAGTACATCCGGGGACTTGCAGCAATAAAGTAAAGGTCGGAGTAGAGCAGTGAAAGCAGGGAGGTGGTTAGCGGGTGGAGCGGAGGATTCAACCCCTCAAGTCTTGTGAGCTAGATCCTCCAAATCACAGCCCAGCAAACCGCCAACGTCTTCAAAGCTCTCATGGGAGTGTCAAGAAAGCAATTAAGATCATTATATCATTAACTCCTATGAGAGCTTTGAGCAGGTTGCCGGGCAGATTGGATGCTAGGCTAACTTTAAGACCTGCATCCCGTTTAAACTCCAGGTCTAACTCCAGGTCTAACTCCAGGTCTACAGCTTTGGGACGTCAACTCTTGCTTAAAGCTCAATCTCAAAAGTCTTCTGAAGATTGTTGGAGAAGGGGTTTGCCGCTGCAGCTGGTGCTTTGTTCCCCGGCTGCGGAGGTTTAGCCTCCAGAGCCGCCCACTTGGCCTCGAATCGATCATCTTCTTGGGGTGCTGGAGCTGTCAGCTGGCTGCCCTCTGGAGGCCAGCTGCTCCCGCTGCTGGACGTCCCGTTCTGGAGGCCCATGGAGGCGCTGCTGTGCGGCGGGAGGCCATTAAGGGCTGATGATAACAGAGGAGTGGGAGAGAAAGGTGGTGTGGAAAACCCCGGTAATCCAGGGTAGGAATGGTGCCCCCCGGTCATTCCCAGTCCCATCGATAAACCTCCACCTCCACCTGATGAGCCTGTTGCCGTGCAGAAGACGTTCGCCACCATTTGCGACGGAGTGATGCCCACCACAGGCACGCTGGCGTTGGGATATGTCATAGAGCTGGCCAGGCCGGGCATGTACGTCTGCATGGGAACGAAGGCCGGCTGGACAGGCTGGGAGCCGAACATTCCCACCGGAGCGGGGGTGGTGTCAAAAGCCAAGGGGAAGGGCTGCATGGAGCTGGGGAGGGAGCCTGAGAGCCCTGAGAGGGAAGGCTGGAGCATGGAGGCGCCGGACATACTGGGACCGGACATGGTGGGGATGGACATGGAAGGTAGAGACATAGGGGGACCAGATACTGGAGGGCCGGGTATTAGAGGAACTGATGATATTGACATGGGTGGGAGGGGCATTGGTGCCTGAGCTAATAGAGCAGGGGGGCCCGAGAGCAGAGGTTTGGACATGGAGCCGAGGGACATGGGGATGGTGGACACAGCAGATATGGAGGGGGGTCCGGGGATGATGGGGATGGAGGGGCCTGGAGGAGGGGTCTGCTGAGCCTTCACAGCCTTGGAGACTTCCTCCAGCCACCGCTCGGCCTCGGAGGGGGTGCGCCGGTGTCCACAATGCATCTGCATCGCCACAGGAGGAGGGGAGTGGAGCTCCGGCTGCACCCAGGAAGGATTACCTAGAGGGACACACAGTTATAAAGAAGTAGAAAAAGTGTGATAAATGGGAGAGTGTGGGAGAGAAACTCCCTCTGGAGGAAGGCGCACATAAAGATTGGTCTAACTTTTGAAATCAGTGAAAAATACTCAAAAGACCTGCAAAGGCTGAAACTACTGCCAATGAAATAGTGGGTGTTTCTCAATGTCGAGTACGCGTGCTTGGTAGCACATGTCTGCCGAGCATCTTGCTTCAGAAGCGAGTCAAGAATACTTCCTGGCATTCGGAAAACGAAGAGTGGAACAGGCTAGCAAGTGTGCAGGTGTGCGTCATATGAGAGGCCTCACCTTACATCTTCCGCCACAGATTTTGGAAATTGGTCCGTGCGCAAAGCATTGTGGGGATTTTAAGACCGCGGAGTCTACACATGTGCAGCCTCGATATTTCTCCAAACGGAGTACGCCGGGCTCGGTAGATTTCCAAGTATGCTGGAGATTGGAACAGTCCTTCGGCGGCACTCGATGACGTAGTATGCTTGAAATAGTGGCTCTGGAGCAGCTTTACTCGCGATTGAGAAACACCCAGTGTCTTGGTGCTCCTGTGCAATTCGCACATATTTGATTAAGGTTATTTGCAGACATTTGCTGCAAAATTATAAAATGTTGATGTAAGTGACCCTCATCAAAGTTTAGAATGCAATCTTTTTACTTAGGTATATTTATTGTTCAAGGTTCTTTATTAGTCATACAACCATAGCTACAGAGTAGTTATGTCGATGACGTTCTTAAGTCACAGGCTTCTCCAACAGTGCAACACAATATTACAGAAAAACAGACAAATATAGTGCAAGTAAATATTAAAAGTAACTGCAAAAAGAAGGAATAGTTTAAAAAAAAGTGAAATAGTGAAATAAGAGTCTATATGCAAGCTATTTGAATTATATATTAGGTAAATAGATAGATGATTACTAAGTAGCAGAATGTTATGGATGTTGTTGCAGCAGTTCAGGTGTTTAACAGTCTTATCGCCTGTGGGATGAAACTGTCTCTGAATCTGTTGGTTTTATTGTGTGTGTTGTTGTGACATGTTGCAATGTTTTGTCATTAGAATAATGAAGAAATCTCACCAAAATATATATATAAAAAAGACAGAAACTACTGTAATAGAGAATAAGACCTTGACACAGGCAGAGAGTGGGTACAAATGATTCCCAACTCAAGGTGCAATCAGTGGCTGCAATCTATTTTTGTGAAATTGAGTGTGCAATATTTGAAAAAGAATGTGACGTATGCAGCCTTTCTTACCCTGCAGGGTTCCCGGTGGTGGGGGCAGGGCGGGGGGCGCAGTGCAGGCTGGAGGACCATTTGAAGAGAAGCAGGGGTTGTGGAACATCTCCTCTGCTGGATTGGTGAAGGAGTTGTTGATCTGGCTGCAGAGAGCGTTGATGGTGCCGTCGTCCTCATCCTGCAACCCCAGGTTCATCTCTGGAGAAAGACAATGGAGATAAGGGGAATAATGAATAGGGGATGAAGATGATTTAAAAAGAGGGACGAACAAACAGAGAGAAGGAGAGGAAGATATTTAATCATTTTGCCAAACAGTCCGATCAAAAGCAGAGAAACTGGAGCCGATGCAGATTGGCTCCTAATGACCCAAAAAGCATCAGAAACATGAGATTTTCAAGACAAACACTAATCGCTAATCTGGACCTTCTTACTACAAATAAAAAGGTGACACTTAGTCACAGATGTATGCAGGCCAGGAGGAACTGTGTGAACTGCCCGATGTATTTAATTTCAGCCTGTTATGTCATTGCTTTGTGTTTCAGACAAAGGTGGATTTGGCTCAGCTTATCCACGCTTTTAAACCAACTGTAACTGATCCGCCCAGCGAGGGGATTATAGACGGCATCATGTTCCCGTCTGACTTAGGTTTGAAATACATCGTTAAAACCTCTCCTGCACAGACCGCAGATATAAATAGATATCATATCTAATTCCCCGTTCATTGTCTCCGAGGCCCTCGCTTCACAACGAGGGCCTCGGAGACGGAGGATTTATCAACGGTCTTCTCCTCTTCAGCTGCCTCCATCTATGCTTATCGTTGTTGAACACACTTGACAACGAGGAGTCTAATGATGATCTGTTTTCACATTGTGGTTACATTTTATATCATGCATATGCAGAGAATTCAACGTAGAGGCGTTGAGTAGTTTCAAATGTATACCCAGGTCCATACTAAGGCTGACCATGACGAGTGTTTATTTCCCACATTGAGAAATACGATATTTTTAATTCTTGCTATTAAGGAACAAATGGAAATCCCAAAGAAATCTGTTGGAAACTAAAGAAATCTAAATATCTTTAATTAAACAATAGACCTTAAAGGTGGGGTAGGTAATTTTGGAGAAACCGGCTCGAGATCGCTAGAATTTGAAAATACACAGCCGGAGAAAATCTGCCACTTCCTTACAGAGCCCCTCCTCCAACACACACGAACGCGCACATGACCAATGAGGGCACGAGATAATTTGTGCACAGATGGAAGGCTGACAGGCAGGTAGGCCATCCAGTTATTTTAGCCGGGCCGGCTCAGATGATTGGTCGTGCTTTTTACAGCGCCACGGCTTCCACAGATGACATTTTTTTATGGATTTTTTGTCAAAGGACTTAAGATATTCATTGTTATCGGGATGTTAAGAGCATTCCATGGAATATAACAAAAAGTGTATCTCGAGACTAGGGATGCATATCGTTGACTTTTTTACGATACCGATACCGATACCGATACCACTGAACGATACCGATACTCAACCGATACATATCGTGATACTTTCATGTTGCATAAGGGAAACATTTTATCATCCCGCAATTACTCCCATGAAGCGCTTTATTATATAGTTAACATGTCAAATGAATATTAAATTCAATTGTGGGACTTGGACCTTTTAGTACTGAACAAACAATGAAAAACACATTATCTATGAAGAAAACTGATTCTGCAATATCATTTATATCAACCATCAGGCGTGAATAGTACATCTTGTCAATGGAAAAATAAAATAGCACCAGTGTAATTAATATTCAACCTGAGATTCGACTGACCAGAGAACACATAAAGGATCATGAGATCTCGGCATTGCACATAAAACAAATAGCATCCTTAAAATCAACATTTGCCTGATGAAAGAAAACAAATCCCATCACAGTTCAGTTTTGTGCATTCATCTTCAAGAAGATGAGCATATCTGCTCTCTGGATCCAAACGGGCCCTTTCACAGCGTAGGATATCACCTGCTGAACTGAACACTCTCTCGCTTGGCACGCTGCTTCCCTGAACACAAAGGTACTTGGTTGCCATACGAGACAGCATTGGTTGGAGATTGGATGTGTTGCCACCTTTCCCAGAAATAAACTTCTTGCAGTGGTTACAGACCCCACCATTCAGACTGGCAGTGGTTACAGACCCCACCATTCAGACTGGCAGTGGTTACAGACCCCACCATTCAGACTGGCAGTGGTTACAGACCGCACCATTCAGACAGGCAGTGGTTACAGACCCCACCATTCAGACAGGCAGTGGTTACAGACCCCACCATTCAGACAGGCAGTGGTTACAGACCCCACCATTCAGACAGGCAGTGGTTACAGACCCCACCATTCAGACTGGCAGTGGTTACAGACCCCACCATTCAGACTGGCAGTGGTTACAGACCCCACCATTCAGACTGGCAGTGGTTACAGACCCCACCATTCAGACTGGCAGTCATATGCAGCCACACTTTAGATTTTCAAAAGTGACTTGGTTGCGGAGTTTCACTGCGAAATTGACATCGTAATTCCGACGGTTTGGGCACAAGTATAAGGATATTATGCCTCACTTTTATTAAAAAAAAAAAAAAAAAAAAATTATATAAAAAAAAAAAAAAAAAAAAGTATCGAAAACCGGATCTGATTTCGGTACGGTATACCGTAGCCACCAGTAACCGGTATTTCGGTAAAACCGGGAACCGGTATGCATCCCTACTCGAGACGGTTTCTCAAACTTACCTACCCCACCTTTAATATAGAGGGTAATGTGACCCATGATCAGAGTAAAGTGGCAACAGCATTTAAAAGGGACCTATTTAACTCATGTTCAGGTGTATATCAGTATGTAGTGTCTCTACTTTAAAGAGTCCTCTCCTGCTGATGTTCAGGTGTATATCAGTATGTAGTGTCTCTACTTTAAAGAGTCCTCCCCTGCTGATGTCCAGGTGTATATCAGTATGTAGTGTCTCTACTTTAAAGAGTCCTCTCCTGCTGATGTTCAGGTGTATATCAGTATGTAGTGTCTCTACTTTAAAGAGTCCTCCCCTGCTGATGTCCAGGTGTATATCAGTATGTAGTGTCTCTACTTTAAAGAGTCCTCTCCTGCTGATGTTCAGGTGTATATCAGTATGTAGTGTCTCTACTTTAAAGAGTCCTCCCCTGCTGATGTCCAGGTGTATATCAGTATGTAGTGTCTCTACTTTAAAGAGTCCTCTCCTGCTGATGTTCAGGTGTATATCAGTATGTAGTGTCTCTACTTTAAAGAGTCCTCCCCTGCTGATGTCCAGGTGTATATCAGTATGTAGTGTCTGTACTTTAAAGAGTCCTCTCCTGCTGATGTTCAGGTGTATATCAGTATGTAGTGTCTCTACTTTAAAGAGTCCTCTCCTGCTGATGTTCAGGTGTATATCAGTATGTAGTGTCTCTACTTTAAAGAGTCCTCTCCTGCTGATGTTCAGGTGTATATCAGTATGTAGTGTCTCTACTTTAAAGAGTCCTCTCCTGCTGATGTTCAGGTGTATATCAGTATGTAGTGTCTCTACTTTAAAGAGTCCTCCCCTGCTGATGTCCAGGTGTATATCAGTATGTAGTGTCTGTACTTTAAAGAGTCCTCTCCTGCTGATGTTCAGGTGTATATCAGTATGTAGTGTCTCTACTTTAAAGAGTCCTCTCCTGCTGATGTTCAGGTGTATATCAGTATGTAGTGTCTCTACTTTAAAGAGTCCTCTCCTGCTGATGTTCAGGTGTATATCAGTATGTAGTGTCTCTACTTTAAAGAGTCCTCTCCTGCTGATGTTCAGGTGTATATCAGTATGTAGTGTCTCTACTTTAAAGAGTCCTCTCCTGCTGATGTTCAGGTGTATATCAGTATGTAGTGTCTCTACTGGGACATGTCTCCATGCTTTAATGTTCAAAAAGCTCTTTTTCTCATCCTGCCTGTGCTGCAGCACCTCTTTTCACCCTCTGTCTGAAACCAGAGCCCTGGCCAGCTCTGTGATTGGTTAGCTGTCTGGCTCTGTTGTGATTGGTCAACCGCTTGGAAATGTCTCGCCCCTTAGCATTTCAAGTAGGGCCTACAATGTGTTTGAGCGCTAGCCAATAGAAGCGGGAGTGTTACATATTGATGTCACTACGTAAACAAAGGAGTCTAAGGCAGAGGAGGTATAAGGGATGGACATTGTGTGTGTAGTAGACCTTGGATTATATCTGAGAGTGTAGAGGACGCTGGAGGCATGAGCACGGTCTCACATTAAAGATTTCTATGTGCTTTGTTCTGCAAAAAAAGGCCCAGTGATCCCTCTCTCTCCCTGTGCCTGTCAATGTCCTGCAGAGTTCAGAGGCACTTCAAATGCCTGTCTGTATGTGTATATGACCTAAATCTGTTTACACAGTCACGTGTGGGGACTCGCCTCCCTTATGGGGACATAATGGAGGTCCCCATAAGGGGAATCATTAATTTTAGGGTGAAGACTTGGTTAGGGTAAGGGTAAGGGTAAGGGTAAGGGTAAGGGTAAGGGTAAGGCATGTGTTGGTTATGGTTAAGGTTAGGATAAGTCTCCAGGAAATGCATGTAAGTCAATGTAATGTCCCCTGAAGTGATGTATACATGGTATGTGTGTGTGTGTGTGTGTGTGTGTGTGTGTGTGTGTGTGTGTGTGTGTGTGTGTGTGTGTGTGTGTATGTGTGTGTGTTTGTTTTGCTCAGTTCAGTTGCAGGTTGAGGGTTTGCTTGCTGAAGGCTAACCAGAACGGCTGATTGGCCGCACAAATCAATACACACATTGTTCAGAGAGTCACAAGGGAGCCAAGAGGCAGTGTGTGTGTGGGTGTGTGTGTGTGTGTGTGTGTGCGTGTGTGTGTGTGTGTGTGTGTGTGTGTGTGTGTGTGTGTGTGTGTCTGTGAGAGAGTGAGAGTGTGAAAGAGAGAGCACATTAGGATACACACTGCACCACCACTGGATATATATATATATAAATAAACTAACCATCACGGGAGAATAAGAGACGGAAATGAAAGCAGCGAATATGAGAGTGGGAGTTGAATGTTGTGGTTTAGTATTCCAGTCAGAAGAGTCTCATCTCTCTTAATGACTATAATCACACACTGAGGGGGTGTGTCAGGTACGTGTGTGTACCTGTGAGCGGTATTACTAATTGTCCTTAGTAAAAAAGAGCTGTCAGTCACACAGGAATAGCCATGCAGAGCTGGTGCTAATTAAAATGATGGCACCACCTCAATAGAGGGCAGGCTTTGGGGTTAAGTTAAACACTGTCTGCATGAAAACACAAATAAAACTACTTCTGACATGTTGAAGGTTTATTCTGTAACATGTTTGCTCATACCTCCTCAGTGGTGCGAAGTGGAAAATGTAATAGGGCTCGAGTCGGCAAACAAACATGACGTAAGTGGAGCACAGAATCCCACATGTGTGTTTCTGTTTGTGTTTGTGTGCAGAGGCAGCGTAATGCTCCGTGACGTCTTCCTCCTGGAAACTATTTGGGGATTTGAGTTTGCAAAAAATATTGTTGTCAGGTGTTGTTTTGCATTTGCGAGGGGAAGGATCCCAACTGATTTAACTTCAGGTACCCTAAGGGCATTTTGGTTGTGTAAATAGATGAATCCCCTCTAGAAAACAGACCTTGATAATGATTGTTGGTTATTATTGTGGTCTAATTATAGCCTTGTGCATCATCATCATCATCATTTAGGGTCCTCTGTTCAAATATGCTGTTTTTGTGTAAATGCATTTCTCCAGTTGTATGTGTGATGAATATAATTAGCAACTTTAAAAGGTGTCAGTCTGGTGTGGGAAAACTGCTGCCAATCCAGCGTGTTCCCATAATGGTCTAAAATCATATATAAAAAATACAACTTAAACAGATGCTTTAAAACACTGGTTCTGAACACGAGGGTCCCAAACCCCACAAGGGGTCGCCAAAGCGTCAGGCTTTTTGATTTTAAGTTTTGTAAGACAACTTTAAGGCCTATTTCTCAGGATTTCATACATTTCTGTAAAGAATACAAGATTGAATTGTTATCTTTAAAGTTGAATTATTAAGAAGTAGCAAAAGGACTGTTGATAACTAATCTACTCTGACTTGTATTGTTTCTTTATATACATTGAAATTAAATCATGTTAAGTTTAGGGAGCCTTTTATAGTTTTAAAGGAAAATTAGCACTCCTTCTTTCAGCTGAAATACAAAGACTAAGTATCCTCCTTAATCATCCTTCATAAAATCCAGTTCAGATTAATTTTGTTCCAGCGGTCACAGCAGCAACTAACCATACACATGTTTTAAATGATGTTGTTTATGATGCATGTGTTCAAAAAGGTTTTAAACGTTTGACCCGAAGTGAATTTCTTGATTTTAGCTGTAACTTGTGATGCGTGCCATGTTATTAGAGCACTTTGAGCTGCACCTGGTGAATGAAAAGTGCTTTGATTGTGTATATACAGTACAGTATAGGTTTATACATACTTTTATACAAATAAAGCGTATTATTGACCAGGGTCAGAAGGTGAGCATGTCCCTTCAGCATCATCATCATCATCATCACTTGTGAGTGTAAGTTCTCCACTCACCAGGGTTCTTGTCCTGGTAGTCGGTCTTGCGCTGCAGCGTTGACGGCAGGTCGTTGAGGCGGAGCGACAGCTGCCGTTTGAAGGGGGAGTTTTTCTGGCTGAGGGCCGGAAACCCCCGGAAGGACCCCTGCCGCACCAGCTGCTCGATGGGCGCGTGGCGGCGAGGGATCGCCCGCGGCCCCCCGGGCTCTGAGCGGTCCATCGGGTACTCCTCACCCTCGGGAGGGGAGGCGGAGCCAGGGGGGGGGGCCGGCATGACAGAGGAGGGCTGGTCTGGAGGGAGAGGAGGAGGAGGGTGCATTACTGTTGGAAAATCGACTGTTTAATGCATTCTTGCTAAGACGCTGGAGGAGTTTGCTCTGGATGTGCTTGGTTTGAGCATTTAAGGGTGGACTCTTTGTACACACTCTGAAATGCCTTGTGACAGGCAGCAGTAAAGTTGGTCTGGAGGGAGAGGAGGGTGCATTACATGTATGTTGTACATGTCTACTTTACAGTATGCTATTTTTAGATTGTTTTTATGTCTTTTACTGGTAACTGTATTCTGTGTGATATCAATGTTCTGTGAAATGTCTATGTGAAGCACTTTAAACTGCACTTATTGTATGAAAGGTGCTAGACAAATACAGATTATTATTATTATTATATTATTACTACTTGAAAATCTACTTTTTTAATGGATTCTTGCTATGACGCTGGAGGAGTTTTATTTAGTTTTGACAATCAATAAGCAGTGTTTGTCATATAGTAATGGTTAACATAATATATGCCAATGCAAATGAGCGATTGGTCTGTGCTGATTGTATGTCTAAAAATAAAAATAAAAAACAAAACAAGAAAAACACAGACAAACAATAACAACGACGACTAAAGTAATCTCCTATCACTGCCAGTGATCCTTATACACACGAATATATGCCAGACATATTGTTGGATGAGTATATGCATGTAAAACAAATGCATATACACACATGCAACCTACACATACACATTTGCTGTATACATACATACATATATACATACATACATACATACATACATACATACATACAGACATACAGACATACATACATACATACATACATACATACATACATACATACATACATACATACATACATATATACATACATATATACATACATACATACATACATACATATATACATACATACATACATACATACATACATACATACATACATACATACATATGCTACACTTAAGCTAACCCAAGGGTCGACTCTTTTTACACACTTTGAAATGCCGTCTTACGGGCAGCAGTAACGTTTATTGACATCTTTGTCTTGTAAACTACAGTATTTAGGGAATTGAGTTTGCAGTAATCCATGTTGAATTATTTTGTATTTGCAAGGAAAAGTCTCCCATCTAATTTAATTTGAGCTAATTAAAAGGAAACTTGAAATCAAGGGGATATAAATATGGACCAATCAACTCTAGAAAAATTAACTAAAATGTTAATTAGTGTTAGTTAATATTGTTGTCTAATATAAACTTGTGCATCTGCCAGTTAATATCAAGATTCAAGGCTTTATTGTCATGTGCACATTACAGTCTAGATATGACAATGAAAAACGTAAGTCGCAGGCTCCTCCAACAGAGCAACATCTTCAACCTCCCAGATTCCTCTCTGATGAATGATTCCAGTTTGATGTGTAATGGATGTATTTACCTTTCCTCTTGTCCTGCAGCTTGTCCTCTCTGTCGCTGCTCTGCTGGCAGGTTGGGTTGGAGCGGAACGATCCCTCACGAACAAACGATGTGCGGCTGGCGTCAAATGAAGCCGTGACGCCGCACTCCTTCTCGCGGCGCTGCTTCCTCTCCAGACAGGCGGCGAAGGCACAGCCGACCGCGTGGCTCAGTCTCTCCCCCTGGAGGAGCAGAAAGAAAGCAGTTTGAAAATCACATCTACACCAGGAGGCAAAGGTGTTGGTATATAGCTTATTTCCCAGTCCAGATGCTATAAATAGGTAAACTAGCCATATTTCCCGGGGTGTTTTTATACAACTTACATTTTTAACAACTAAAGTCTTAAAGGTGCGCTGTTTTCTCTTTCCTGTAGTGTGCTAAATAGGTTTGTGTGCATGTAAATGGTCTGCAAAGGTTAAAATCCAATGTGTTTCTCTCCCACACACCTGCCTGAAACGCCTCCTTTGGACTCCTATATTTACTTCTGGAACATATTGACATCACTATGTAACACTCTCTCTTCTATCGGCTATAGGACGTAGGATATAACAAATAGGTCACAATAATAAAGAAGTTTTTCAGCATGTAATCATGTCACAGTAGAAGCACAAAGTACAAATATGAACCTGGAATGGGCATTAAAGGGCCCCTTTAAGAGATATTTTGAATGGGGGAAATAGAGCGATTTAATGTGATCTTTTTTGCCAAAGGGCAGTTTTTCATGTTTTTTGCCAGGGGTTTATAATACTATCTGTAGATTGATTTTGTCGCCATGATAGCGTCGCAACATATATACAACAATAAGAAGCATCGGATCTAATCTTCCATGCAAGATACAGTCCCAAAACTTTCTAGTTAAGATCAAAATGATGATGGGTTTGGTAGAAAGTGGGGCGGGACTGTTGGCCATTGACTACCCCTTTGTAGCACATTCAGTCTATAATCTCCATTTAACCTGCATTGATTTGAAACAAAAGCAGAATTAGGGTAACGCTGTCTTAATCGTAACGGCTTTTTTTAAGAGTAGTGTGATGTTGTTCATTTCAAAATACAGCTTTAAAGATTGGATAAGGGTGCAAATAACTTAAAAAATCTACCATTGTCAAACGTCAACATGCTCCCTGGACGACGTATGAAACTACTTCCTGCCTTTTGTAATTAATTCCACTTTCCCACCACCTCTCTATAACACTCCCTCTCTCTACACACGGCCACTATTGGAGACAGTTGTGTGTATGATGAGCATAAAGAGATATGCAGAGTGTGGGGGAAGTAGAGACAGACAGAGATGGACAGATAACTCCACAGGCTTCTGTCTAATCCCTCTCCTAATCCTGCAGGTCTGCTCTCTGCTGTCCGCATCAATAATCCAACCCCCATGAAGTGTAAGCTGATGAAACACCGCAGGATTGAAACCTCAGGGCGCCATGACAGCGTCTCTCCATCACTGCTGTCTTAAACTTACAACCTCCTCATCCCAAGGTCACATGGAAATACCAGAGGTTAAAAATCACGCTATAAAGCGGAAAAACATAGAGAGACTCTAGCGGTGGTTTAAAGGCCAAAGATTCATGAGGGAAGGATTAACCCTTATGTTGTGTTTCAAGTTAAAATTATATAATAACTACGCTCTAGTTCTTTTTATCGGAACCAGGCTTCATGATATCCTCCACAACAGATATATAAACACTACAAAACAGATTTGGACAATTTTAGCCAAGTCTGAAGGTCTCTAAAAAAGAAAGTGTATCATTTGGTGTTGGGGTCTGGGGAGACTCAGCAGAATTGTTTTGGGTGACTCGGGGTCAAATTTGGCCACATCAAGATTCATCTTTGCCTTTAGACACCCCACCCCCAGCCCTTCATACACTGTAACAATACTTTTTCGCAACATGCACCTGGTCGTTTTTTTAACCCATCCTAGCACCAGGAGTCTAGTACTAGGAGCAGCGGGCAGCTATTGTACAGCGCCCAGGGAGCAATGGGAGTGAGGGGGGAAGGGGGGAAGGGGGGTGTCCGGTGCCTTGCTCAAGGGCACCACGGCAGGGCAGGAGGTGATCTGGGACCTCTCCAAGTAGAAGTCCACACTCCATATTTAGGTCTGGTCGGGGACTTGAACCGGCGACCCTACAGCTCACAGTCCAAGCCCCTACTGACTGAGCCACTGCTCCAGCCAATGACTAGGTCCAAAGCTATTAACTTCATATTTATATAAAACTTTACCAAATCCTTACATTTTAAAAGCTTAAAAAAAACCGTTGTGCATTTTTTTCTTCAAAAATGACTTAAATAATAAATTGATACATGTACTAATTGATTAAATAAAATAAACACACATTTATAAAACCTAACCACAACTTTCAGAACTTATTTCTTGTTAACATTAATTTATAATTTTCTAATTTGACAATAGTTAACTTACTTTTGTATTACTTAATTCCTCTTATAGTGTTAATGTATGCACCATTATACACCAAAGCAAATTCATTGAATGTGTAAATCTACATGGCAATAACCCTAAATCAGATTGTCTAAATACGGACAGAAAACCCTTGGCACACATTTAACTTTCAGACGTGCCGATGAAAGAAAAGCTGAATAAAAGATTTCAGAAGTTAGCTGTACTTTTGTTACTACTATAATGAAAATCTCTAAGGTGCAGATAATGAATGGTCCGCTCACCGAGTCTTTGAGAGCCATGAAGCAGTGGCACATCCAGCGCCGGGTGGTGCCGTCTCTGCAGATGTAGGAGAAAGCCTTGTCGTAATTACGATCGGGGGCGCAGAACGAAACCTTCTCTATGGTCTGATCCACAATGAGGTCCTGAGGGAGAAGCGGATGAAAAGAAGACAGAGAATAAGAGGGAATCAGATTCAACAGCTCACACAATGCAGTCGAGTCAATCCTATAAGATATTACAAAGATGATTAACCTTTCTGTTGTACTCGGGTCAAACGTGACCTGTTTCTAGAATGTTGTAAAGTCAAAATACGTTTTTTTTTTCATATAGGCCTACTGTAGTTCAGTCAGACAACTCTGACGTGTTTCTTAATATGTTTATTAGAAGCAGCATATAGTTTGAGTTTGGCGTCTAGGCTCTGGCCTCTTCACTCCACAGATTTACAAAGAACATTGAGTGATGATTAGATAACTATCCCCCCGAGCCTACAGGTGGAAGCTGGGGTGGAAGCTGGGGTGGAAGCTGGGGTGGAAGCTGGGGTGGAAGCTGGGGTGGAAGCTGGGGTGGAAGCTGGGGTGGAAGCTGGGGTGGAAGCTGGGGTGGAAGCTGGGGTGGAAGCTGGGGTGGAAGCTGGGGTGGTGGGGCAGGGCTGGAAGCTGGGGGGGTGGAAGCTGGGGTGGAAGCTGGGGTGGAAGCTGAGGTGGAAGCTGAGGTGGTGGTGGGGCAGGCGAGCAGCAGCAACATGAAACACATCAGCAGGAACATGAACGTAGCAATAGCAACGTGAACACAGCAGCAGCAGCATAGCGAGGCAGAGGCAGGAAGACCTGGCAGCTTAAATAGAGCGGCATGTTTAGGAGAATGTGTTTGGTTGGTTGTAAGAGGGACGAGGTGCGTCACGTGTTAATGTATCATTGGTGCTCGAGTTGACTGCCTGAACTAGCTCGCAGGTTTCGCCCCATTTGTGTCTAGATCTAGATCTATACTCTCATTGAATTACGGGTGTTTTATTTAAATGTATATGATCTGCTGCCATTAAAAAACTTTAACTGGTCTCAAAACAGAATCCTGATTTAACCGGTAATGCTTTAATTACTTTTTCTAGTGCTCATACATGTACGTACTGTAGCGGCCAAAATCATACAGAAATACAACTGAAAGCTGAGGCACCAGAGAGCGAATCTTACGCATGGGAATGATCAAAGTCCAGAAAATAATATCCGTTTGTGTGTTTATTTCCACTTATTACCAATATGAACTAAATACAATAAACAGGTTTCCTTCTTATAATGCCCTGTGACTCTCATTAGACTTCCTTGTGATTTCCCTTTGGTAAAAAAGCATATGCCTGCTGTTGCTCTACTCCCGCCATCACCTGTCTCCAACATATACAATTATACCAGGTTCCCAAATCACCCAGTGCCCAAAGATGCCTACTACTTTAATTAATAATAACAATAAATAATAATACATTTACTATAAGCAAGAACAGCAAGAACATATGTTTAACTATTAAATAATATAAAGGAATGTATAGCTCCAACACTTACTTTTGTTACCATGGATGTGTACCTATTTGATTTTGTTTAACTAATGTGTGCTTGTCTCTTTCATATACATATAACTCTACTAATCTCTTTATTTTTTTATTGTTAATTTTGGATTATTGGATTTTGAATCTGATTCTGAATGCAGTCTTTTACTAAGTTTGTCAAAAATAGTACTTGAGGATTGTACTTAGTTCTTCAGTATTTCACCACTGTTGTAGTTTTACCTGTTAGATGACGAGTGTCTAACCTGCTAGCTAATATAGACTGATGCCAGTAGTGTAACCACCTGTAGCTAAATAATAAGGTGTGTGATTGTGCTGAATATCATGTCAGTGTGTTATGCCGGTTAGTGTAAGTCAGGGATCACCAACTACATTTGTCCAAGGGCCAACATTATTCCTAGAGACACTTTCGGGGGCCAGCGATTTTTATATATAGCCCTGAATTTTAAAGCTGTTGACCGGGGGGGTGCTAGCGGAGCACGCTCATGTACTGTCAAGTCGCCGGAGCCTCGTAGCGGGGGCTACTGCGGAGCGCATAAAGCAGACTCTTCACGCTAACGAAGGATCACTTCTTCTTCAGGGCAGGGAAGGCTACGCAGTATGCAGGCTACTGTCCCGCAGCTGCTGCCTCTCTGTTGGACTCCGGTACTGCACATTACTCACGAGACGTTGTTGGTCACTGGTGATTATTATATTCTGCTCTTTGTATCACAGGAAGACTACAGAATACCTTGTTTCTACCTCAGTGGGTAGTTATTTTTATTAAACTCCAGTAAAGGTGAACATCTTACATCTCATGCCTGTATGCCTGCATGTGTGTAACACCAAAGCATATCAGAGTAGCAACATCACAATTGGTCAGCAGCTCTACTGCCTAAAACAGGGGTGTCAAACTCAAGGCCCGGGGGCCAAATCCGGCCCGCGACCTAATTTTATGTGGCCCGCAAGAGCTTGCAAAGAATATAATATACAATACAATTGGTGTAATTGTTGAATATTTACTTTCAATTATTTGCCCTAGACTTCTGCTTTCAGACGTAGTTATTTAGGAAGATATTACCAGAACTGATAATAATCCAATGCAGGGCCAACAATGTAATATAATACATTATTTAATATATATTATATATTTACATATGTATATTTATATATAATTAAAATTACAACCAGCCCTTTGAGTGCAACCATAATGCTGATGTGGCCCGGGATGAAATTGAGTTTGACACCCCTGGCCTAAAACAATAGTTCCTACTATTACAGTGATATGTTTTGTTTCATGCAAGTTCAAGTACTCAAATGTTTATGCAGGTGCATCACTTATTAGACCACTCAACAGCGTGTACCCACGTTGCACTGATGTGTTTCTGTTTTATCAGAACGAATGAAGTAAAAGGAATTTATATGAAACTTATGCAGGCCTGGAGGTCTCTTTTGTGTCCATCAACATCTCGCTTCAGTTCTCAGCACACAGCCTGATCTAATACTTGACACTGCTTTCAACCTCAGCTAACCTCTTGAAATCCCTCTCACTCCGACCTATTTACACACCCACCAGTGACAGAGAGTAAAGTGACTAATGACACTGAACCCTCCTTTCATCTCCGGGATGTTTCCACCACTCGCCCTCCCTGCTATAAAAGGTTCATTCAGCCCGTCTCAGTGTCTATAGGACGCTGAGAGGGGCCCTTCTCTTTCTCTGTGTACATTAAGGGGCCCTCAGATCTCACAAGAAAGGAAGAGGCGAGAGGGAACGAGGGGTTCACACACTCATCCACGCACTTCCTCCCTGTCCTCCAGTGTCGCCGAAAACAAAGGGAGGGGAGGATGAGGAGGAGGAAGAATAACAGTCCATTCATTGAGGGACAATTAGGGGATGAGAGGGATGCTGGTACCGAGGTGAAAGAGGAACCATGTGTTTTGGTACAGTACGCTCCTCTGTTACTATCAAGCACTGGACTTAAGTACATTTTTGAGGTCTATGTTAGTAACTTTAATATGTCCATGTTATACTCCTTTAAAGTGGACCTATCATGCTATATTTGAAACATATATTGTAGGGCCATACCTATACAAAACATGTCTGTGAAGTTTTTTTTTTCAAAATCCCAAACAGATCCCCCGTTGTAGCCATGCCTCATACTGCTCAAACCCCTCTTTTGCAGCCCTGTTAGAGAAACGCGGATCTTGGGTCCTTAGCTTGAAAAAAAAGAAAGAAGAGGAGGCGGAGCTAATGCCTGATCAGAATTCTACCGGAGATAAAGTTAAATTCTGCTGTGATAAAACGCCATCCTGTTCTAAACCACATCAAGGATTATTTCTGAAACAGTATGGAGCTCAAATGCTTTTTCTCTTGCAGGTTTATCACAAGGTGAGTTCTTTTTGTATTTCCTGCTTTTTAAATACATGTGCTCTACAGTACAGGTTAGCTCTGAGTGTTAGCGAGGCTTGCTAATGTAAACAAAGACGAGATTACGTCCAGGCATTGTTTCTGATAGCAACTTTCTGTGGGTCCGCTGCCGATTTGACGTCAGTTCGGATGGAATCTGTATCCGCTCGTTGTACACCCGTTTTTAAAAGATTTGGGTATGGAGGAAAAGAGAGAGGGTTTTATTTTCTGACGCTGCGTGAGTTCCCCGACGCACCGGGGACACATACTGCATGTATGTGTAAAAGACATCACAAAGTGCATTTTGCATGATAGGTCCCCTTTAAAGCAAATATTCACTCCACTACATTTATTTGACAAGATTAGTTACTACTAATTAAGTACTGTAACTAATAAGGTTAATATTAATAATACAAAAATCAACTAATCACCTACCTACCTACCTACCTACCTACCTACCTACCTACCTACCTACCTACCTACCTACCTACCTACCTACACAAAAAGCTATATAAAACCATACAGGAAAGGGTAAAGCCCCAAAAGCACAATAGGGCCTCTTTAAGTAAAACAACAAGTTACGAAACATGTATTTCTGTGGCCTTTGTAAAGGGCTGTTTTCAGTTTTCATGATTCTGTTCGCTCATGTAAGATGTGTTTTGTGATGAAAGTGAAAGGAGAAAGTGTTAGTAGGTAAAGATGACTCAGGTCACTGAAAGTTAAAAACACCACAAAGCAGCAGCGTATGACTCAGAAGTCTCTGCTTTGAGCACAAAAACCTTCACAGTGTCTTTCTATTGATGCAGAGGATTCATTGTATACACGCACATATACATATACAGTCGACGCATTCACTGATGCTGGGAAGGGAAGCGTGTGAATAAGGTTGTGTGGGCGTTAAAAGGCCTTCTTGCTGATTCATAGACGAAGGCTGAGCTGATGATAAAAGGTGGTGAAGAGGCGACAAAGAAAGGGAAGGACTGTGAGGCTTTCACTGCTGGTTTCTCATTAAAAGTTAATATGTCAAACCTCACAGCTAGTCCCTCACAGTGTGTGTAGTTAGTGCAGCACAGGGGCTTTCTGCAGGGGCGTCCACCAATCAGAAGGGTGTGGGTTCGATCCCCTGCAGTTCACATGTTGATGTATCCGTGTGTGTGTGTGTGTGTGTGTGTGTGTGTGTGTGTGTGTGTGTGTGTGTGTGTGTG